GTGTCAAAATATAGCTCTTTGGAAGCATTCAGGAAGACTCAAGCTTGCTGCTCCCTGCAACACAGCAGAATCCTTATTTAAACTATAGGCCAGCCCAGGATAACATCCCAAGCAGGTCAAACAGAGGCTATTCCCTCACGGATGAAGGTGATAGCATAGCACTAGAGATCAAGTAAGTAAGCCCACCAACTTTTACAAGCAAGTACAGCTCAGGTGCACTCCCATTCAGCTTGAATGCCCAATTCTGTGTCATAATTGCTGCCTTGTGTTCCCAGTGCCGTGACAAGTTTTCACAAATCAAAGTCCCTACCTGGTTTCCCAGAATTAAGAGACCCAAATGTGGATTCTGGCTAAGCAAACAAGGAAAAACAGCACAGCCTAAAAAGAAATAAATAATCATCTGGAATCTCTCAAAAATGGACAAAATACTAGTATTATTTGACATATTACTTGATTTGTTGTGACATAAGTGTTCACAGGGCAAAAACGGGATGCATCAGAATGGGAGTTGCTGTCTATGTATGTGGGTTGAGAGGGACTGATAATGCCTGTGTCCTGCTCTACCTTCTAAGAGCCCAGAGAAGCGCACATAGTTTTCCCCAGTAGTTTCCCACCCAGTAACTAAAATATGGCCAGATGACTGAGGGCATTATAGAAACCACACAACAAAGACAGTGCTCATAAAGAAGAATTCAGTCCAAAACCAGATGCGGAAGGGGGGCTAAAAAACTCCTGGAGGAAGAAAGCAATAGTGCAAGGCCAGAGAAGTAAATTACTGAGCTATTACCAATTCATTTACTGTAAATGCGGGTCTGTAAATGCTTGATCAATATAGCCACCAATGAGCAGGGGGAGGGAATCTGCTATTGGAAGTCAAGAGAGAAAACAAGAAGATATGCAGGGCTGATTCCCTCCTTTTACCTGGGGGTGTTTCTAATAAACATTTAAAGTTTTAATAGTTTACGGAGTTGTTTTTTTAGAACATAAAATTTACCTCCCCCAAAGGCAAGCATTGGTGTGATTATGCATGCTCTTGGGAAGGGCTTGGCTTTTGCCACTGTCCTTTAAACATTAATTTTAACAGTAAGACGGAGAACTTAGCTTAGTTAAAGTATATATTTGACTTTGTGTTTAAAAATGCACAAGGTAATACAGGAAGCAGCCCAAAGCCTGTCCTTGAAACATAAGCAGTTGCCAGGTCAGCCTAGATATCTGGCCCAGTACCTTTGAACTCACAGCTGAACTGACATATGATGCAACCATGGTTTCTCCTAGCTACTCTCTACTCTTTTCTTCCCCTCTCCCTATCTGCTGTAGGAAACAGCATGCAAGGTATGCCACCAAAAAAGGAAGAGGGGGATCAATAAAAGGACTGGGAGAATGATGGGGTAGGAACTGGGACTCCTAGCCTCCCAAGGTATGAATGCTCCCAAGTTACAAAGAGAACCTCCAAAGTCCTAAGCAAGCAATCCTATTTTTAAAGGAACAAAGGACAAACAATCAATTCAACAAAGGTGACCACAAAGAAAACATTCGATGCTGAAAGTCGCAGATTGCACCAAGGAATGAAGGCCACCTAGCCAGACAAGATTTTTGAACAGAACAAAGTTTGAGTCCACTGGCACTTTTAAGACCAACAGTGTTTAATTCAGTGTAAAACAAAGATGTCTTAATCCTGGAATAGACCTCCTTTGACAATCTGCTTGTATTACCTCCTCCACGACTGCAAGAGGCAAATGTAAACAAGAAGAGCTATTTATGCAGATTTGGGACCAAGGGCGTAGACTTTCCAATTTTCCGGGGGGGGGGGCTGGGGCTGGGCCAGAGGCATTGCTAAGTCATTAAAAGAACTGGGACCCAATGACATCATAGGGAGGATCTAGTGACATCACAGGCATGGTCATTATCTATGGAGGTGGACCCATGTGGGGTTTAGGGATGGGCTCCCCAGAAATTTAGGGAGGCCTGGGAACCGCCCTAGCAATGTCCCTGGGCTGGGCTAACCCCAGGAACAGTTGCCTTCTTAGAACACTGCTTAGAAACTTAGAAAGCCCCCACACACACCCCACACTGGAATAAGAACATAATATCAGGCCATACCACATTGCAATAAAGCCCCTACAACTTTATACAGAAATACTGAGCTTCCCTACCATTTGCCACAACTAGCCCACCACACAAGAAGAAGAAGAAAAGATAGGATTTACACCCCGCCCTTCACTACCCAAGGGAGTCTCAGAGCGGCTTACAAACTCCTTTCCCTTCCCCTTCCCACAACAGACACCTTGTGAGGTAGGTGGGGCTGAGAGAGCTCTGACAGAAACTGCTCTTTTTCAAGGACAGCTGTGCCAGAGCTTGTGACTGACCCAAGGTCACATCAGCAGGTGCAAGTGGAGGAGTGGGGAATCAAACCCGGTTCTCCCAGTCTTTGCTGTTTGCAGCCATCCAGGCGGGAGCAGAAAGGTAGCCCTTCAAGGAGTGAGGCCGGCTCCCCCTCCTCCTCCCCCTCCCGGGCTTGCGGAGCCTGCCCTCTCCTCGCCAGGCACAC